TTCAAGGTCACACAGTAAGTCACAGGAAGAGCTGAAGTCAGTTCTCCTGTGTCCTAGAACAGTGGTCTGTCTGTGATCATACCGTCTCTCAATGGTATCTCACATATGTGCACATTACCATCTGTACACACATACCTGCCAGGCATGTACAAATGGGGAATGCATGAATACCCAAGGTATGCATGCAAATGAGGTGTGCTCCCTTCAATTAGGTAGCTATAGTAGTTGCATGCACCTGACTTTAAAGATCTGATGTCAAACCTGATGGATTGCCATAATGAATCGGGAAGAGTGGCTGCAGACTGTGTGGAAAGTTCTCTTATAGTTGCATTTAGAGATCTAAGCATTTGCAATACGGGAAGAGGAGTGCAAATATTTGGAGGCAAGGGAACAGGTTTCTGACTGCTACATCTCACCCCACTCTACCCAAGCTTGCCTAAATGTGGCAGTGGCTTTTTAACCTTCCTGACTGTGGGGGGGTTGCATGTCTTTTGTTAAGCTGATAGGTGAATTGAAATGTTTAGACTTAAAAAAATAAAATCCTTCCTGTTCCATTTGCTCATCGAATGAGAGATCTAAATGTAGCTATTAAGGATCAAAACAGACTCCAGTTCCTTCAAGCAAAGTTCTGTCCATGTAATTAACTGATACAAGCATAGGTGTGCACGGGACCGCTTTGGTGTTTGAGAGCTCACTTGCCCTAGTGCATGCAGGAATGGTTTCGGTAGGAATCATAAAATAGGAGGTCTGGAAACTGCCTACAATGCACTCTCTGTACCTCTTAAACAACTGAAAACAGTTTTTGAGCTCTGCTCCAGAGTATGCATTGTGGGATATTGCATTAAGCCTGCAGTCCTGATGTTCTCTGCTTGATTTACAGTTTGTGATGAACACTTGGACTACAAGGATGCCAAGTTGCTGTACCGCTTCCGCAAGGACGATGGGACCTTCCCTCTCAACAAAGATGTAAAGGTGTTCATGAGGGGGCAGAGCCTTTATGAGATGTACGTGAGTCCTCCTCTGCACGGTCTAGTGTGACTCCATGCAGTCTGCTGGCTGTCTTCACAGCTGCAGCTCCAGAAACTTTTCTGGATCTGGCAGGGATCCGAACTGTGGCCAGTGATTCTCTCCCACCTGCTCTGACTCTTTACGGCCTTTCTCACTGCAGCAAAGCAGCAGAATAATCAGGCGTTCAGAAATGATGTGAACCGGGATGCAGGATTGGAACCCGTTGCCACTTCGGAGGAAGTTTACGCTCCGATCTGGTTCTCCACTTCTTGAGTTGGACTCATTGCTAGTGAATATGGGATTTTAGTCTATGATAAAGTGCTATCCTAGGATTTTGAGAGGTTTGGGTTGAAGGCCGTGCTTTGCCACAGACTTCCTGTATGTCCTTGGGCAAATCACTTAGAAACTCTGTGGACCATTTCCGTGCATGTACGAGTGGATAACAGCATTGTCCTGCCTCGCAGGGGTATTGTGAAGAAAAAAATGAGTTAAAGATTATAAGTTGCTAAGATACTGTGTTAGTAAGTGGTCCAGATATGTGCCTTAGATTCCATGGAAGGCTTCCTTTCATGGTGGCAGGATGGGGGCAGGCAGGCACACAGAGAGACAGGCATAGAATCTCTCTGTGTGGAGATCTCACCAATTATTCCTTCCACGTCAAAAAACAGCTGCTGCTTTGGGGCTGGCTGGAGAATTGGGCGGGAGAATCTGGATCTCTCCATTCCAGGGAGCCTCTTAACAGGACAGGAAAGCAGAACAGAAGTAGCAGATCAGTGTTGCTGTGCTCTTTTGTGGGTGTGAGAAAGCAGAGACATGGTACAGTGGGAACAATTCAAAGGCAATGGGTGTTTTGGGGCTGTTAGATGGAAGCGGGCCAGCCAATCATGCAACAGGGGACCACACAGGGTATCTGTGGCAAAGCTGGGAACTGACTGCAAATCTCTTGAATCCACATCATCCATTTTAACCACAGCCCTCCCACTTTTCTGAATTATCTGGTATGTTCCAATGGTTCCCAGTTCTGTGCTTGGGCCAAGCATTCAAGAAACATGGAGCCTACTGTTTATTCACCCTGAGGTTCAACAAATCCCTTAATGTCTGTAGGGTTTTTTAATTTATTTTTTGTCACCTTTTAAATGGGAATGGAAAATGCCCACCTTGCAGGGGCTATTGTATATGATCAATGCTTTTACAGTGTCTCAGAAAGTATAAAAAATGTATATACAGGCTACCTACTCTGCCTGGAACGAAACCCTGCACAGACTTGGGTTTGGAACTGAGGAGTTAAATTCCAGAAGTTCCAGGCAATCTCCCAACGCTAGTTATTCAC